TGAATGATGAACTGCCAGATAACTTTCGTAACAAAGATCTTCTACATGTATTGTTACACTGCGCTCTGAAGTGTGTTATTGTGTTGTGGATTTCTGATAGAGTTCCATCTATAAACCAGTGGACACAGACTGTAATAAGTATTATTATTTTTGGACTATTTGGATGCGTCTGCAGCTCAGAGAATAAGCCTGGGTTTATTAGATTTAGCTTGGCAAGAAGAAGACAATATGTAGTGTTATGTTTGTTTTTTCTGCTTTTGGGCTCCCTTCATTTATTTTTTATCATTATTATTATTATTTTTATTCTTATATATGTGTATATCCTTCTCTTATGTATGTAGAGTGTTTCATATTTGATGTTTTCCTGCTTTGCAAAAAAGTTAAATAAAATAAAAAATGTTTAAAAAAAAAAAAACACTGGTCCTCCAGTCGTCCACGTTTCCTCTCATTTAACAGAAAAATACACAGAAAAAATCTTCTGTCTTACACGTGTCTGTACTTTAAAAGGAAAAAACTGAGTTTTCTCCCTTGAACTAAAAGGTTATCGTCTGAATTCTTTATGAATAGATGCAAAAATCAGCTTTTTCTTTGGCTTCTTTTCTCAGCCTTTAAGTGATTCTGGTTTATATTTTGGAACATGGTCTCCTTTCTGTGAGGAGTTTCCAGGAGCAGCTAGAACGAGACACAAAAACTAGACTGAAAATGAGAAAAGAAGCAGAAAAAGTTTTTGGGGAGGTTAAAGAGAGTCTGGCTGCTTGGAAACTAAATGAACACAGTGGGGGGGGTGGGGGATGGGGGGGGGGGTACCTGTCTGCTCTGGCTCGCTCTTGTCTTCGTCCTCGATGTCGAACTCGGACTCCCTCTCCTCGTACTCCACGTTCTCGTCCAGCTCCTTAAAGTCTGGAGCAAAGGCGCTCCAGTTTTCCTGAAACACAGAAAACGTTCACACATCTGTGAAGGTCCTCAGTCATCCAGGTTAAGCTATAAAAGTTCAGCTCAGGCAGCTGGAGGTGAAGATGCAGAAGCTTCTCCAGCTCTAACTGATGGAGAGCTCTGAGTTAATATACTGTAGGTGGAACTAAAGAGTTAGGGGGAAACCAAAGGGGGCTCTGGTCCCTCCTGCTGGGGGCCATGGAGGTCACCTGGGGGGTTAATGGTGGTTAGCAGCTAAAGGACCAAAAATAAGTAAAAGAAGCAAAACAACCCAAAATAAGCAAGAAATTAAAGAAAAACAATCAAAAAGAAGTAAAAGAAGCATCCAAACAATGAAAAATAAGTGGAAAAAGCAGCAAAACAACCAAATTTAAGTAAAAGAATCAGTAAAACGGCGAAAAATAAGTGAAAGAAGCAGCAAAACAATGAAGAATA